ATTATTTTTTTCTCTCTCTCTTTCTAGTATTCTTTCCCCTCTTTCCCCTCGAGTCTCGCCTTTACCCTCCTCCTCGCCCCCCCCCCCCCCCCCCGCGCCCTCCTCATTGCCTCCTAGCCACCCGACCTCCTAACTCCTTCCTTCCTGGTCATTACTGCGGTCCTTCCATCCCTGCCGGCCGCTTCCTTCGCCGCCCTCCTCCTTCCTCTTCTTCTTCTTCTTCTTCTTCTTCTTCTTTTCCTCCTCCCTCTTTTTCTTCCCCCTTTTCTGCTTAATTATCTTCTTCTTCTTTTTCTTCTTTTTTTCTTCTTCTTCTTCTTCTTCTTCTTCTTCTTCTTCTTCTTCTTCTTCTTCTTCTTTTCCTCCTCCCTTTTTTTCTTCCCCCTTTTCTGCTTAATTATCTTCTTCTTTTTCTTCTTCTTCTTTTTCTTCTTCTTCTTCTTCTTCTATTTCTTCTTCTTTTCCTCCTCCTTCCCCTCCTCCCTCTTTTTCTTCACCCTTTTCTACTTAATTATCTTCTTTTTTTCCTTCTTTTCCTCCTCCTCCTTCCCCTCCTCCCTCTTTTTACTTCCCCATTTTTTACTTAATTTTTTTCTTCTTGTACTACTTCTTCCCCTTCTCCTCCTCTTCCTCCTCCTGCTCTTCCTCCTCCTCGTCCTTCCTCTCCTTCCTCTGTTTCTTCTCATTTTTCTTCTTAATCTCCTCCTCCTCCTCCTCCTCCTCCTCCTCCTCCACTCCCACCCCACTCCCAGCCCTTCCCTAAGCCCCTCCCATCAATCCCCAACGCCTTGTCCGCCCCCATCTCTCTCAGTAATCTCCCCTCCCCCCCTCTCGTCCTTTCCTCTACACCCTTTCTCGATTCTTCTCCCCCCCCCCCCCAATCCCCCTCCTATCCTCTCCCTCCCGTGACTTTCCTTCTTATCTCCTCCACTCCACCTATCCCCTCTTTCTCTCCTGTTCTCTCCCCACTATTCTTTTCCTATCCTCTTCCTCTCCTCACCCCCCCCCCCCCCCGCTTTTCTCTTGTCCTTGTCTCATCACTCCTCATTTTCTCTCTCTGTCATATGCCTTTTTCGATGTTTTCTTGTTCTTTGTTATAATTGTCATATTTTGTTTGCTTCTTTATGTTAGTTTTTATTTTTGTTTTAATTATTAGTAAATTTTAATTATTATTATTAGTTAATTATTATTATATTAGTTAATTATTTAATTATTAGTAAATTTTAATTATCATTATTAGTTAGTAATTTCGTTTGTTTAGTGGTTCGTTGTTCTTGTTTTGTTGGCATCGGTTTTCATTTTATTTCATGATTCCATTTTCTGTTGTAAAGAATGAGAGGGAGAAAAAAAAAAATATAATAACAGGCTTTCCTTGTGTTATCGTTAACGTTTTGTATTTTTTTTTCTTGTTTCGTTTAATACTTCATCTTCGTCCAGTTTCTTTTGCATTCTCTTCCACTTCGTCTTCGCTTTTCCTCTTCCTTTCCTCACGTTTTAATCGTCTTCCTCTTCCCCCTCCATCCTCGCCACCCTCTCTGTCCACGTCTCGCTCTGCCTTCTGCCTCCCTCCCTTCAGGTTGCTGGTCACTTTCCACCCTTCCTTCTCCCTCAGGTTTTCTTTTCTTCCTTTTCTTCTCCATCTGAACGGATTTGAAGTTCTCAACCCCCCCCCCCCCCCTTTCCTCTTGTCGCGTTGCTGTTCATTTCTCCCCCTTTCTTCTCTCTGTCCCCTTCCATCTACCTCATTCTTCTATCCTTTCCTCTCCTCTTATTCCCATTCTCCTATCCCCTCCTTCTACCCCTTTCTCTCCCTCTTTTCGGGTTGCCGTTCACACCTCACCCTTCTTCCTCCCTTTAATCTCCTTTACCCCTTTGGAGGAACAGCTTGATATTTGTTTTATGTTCTCTTTGGCGTCAGTTTCCTCTCTCTTTATTCTCTTCTTCGCTTTGTGTTTTTTTTTCTTTCTCTCTTCGTTATATCCGGCGATGGCAATCCTGTGCCAACTTTTATATTAAAATTCTTTCCGTCGTCTTCAAATATTTTCATTTCTCCATCTTCTCCACTCCTCCTTTCATTTCCCCCATCACTAATTACTTTCTTCCTCCTTCCTTTCCGCTCTCCTCTCTCCCCCCCTCGCCGTCTTTCTCTCTCATTCTTCTCTTTTTGTGTCTTTCCCCTCCTTCTCCCTTATCTTTTTATTTCTCTCCTTCTCTCTTCCTCCTTTTCTTCCACCCTCTTTCCTTTCTTCCCTTTCTCTTTCTCTCCTGTTTCTCTTTTCCCCTCTTTGTTTTCGTCCTAATTTTCTTTTTCCTTCCCCTTCTCTTTCTTCCCCTTTCCACCCACTTTATTATCCATTTTCCGTCATCATTTTCCCCTTCCCTCTCCTTCCTTCTCCCTTCTGTTCCCCTATCCTTCCAGTCCTTCCCCATCCTTCCTCCTCCTTCTCCTTTCTCTTTCTCTCCCTCCTTGCTGCTCCTCATCCACCTTCTTTCCCCTTTCCCCTTCTTCCACCTTTTATCTTCTCTCCCTCCTTTCTCCTCTTTTCTTCTCCACCTCCTCCTCATCCGTCTCTGCCTCCTTTACACTATTTCCTCCTTTTCCTCTCTTCCTCCTTCCATCTTCCTTCCTTCCCCTTTTCTCCCTCCTCCTTCCTCTATCTTCCTTCTTCATTCCTCCATTCTCATTCCACTCCCATGCACCCTCCTCCTCCTCCTCCTCCTCCTCCTCCTCCTCCTTCTCCTCCTCCTCCTCCTCCTCCTCCTCCTCCTCCTCCTCCTCCTCCTCCTCCACCTCCCATGCACCCTCTCCCTCCTCCTATGCACCCTCTCCCTCCTCCTATGCACCCTCTCCCTCCTCCTCCTCCTCCTCCTCCTCCTCCTCCTCCTCCCCCTCCCCCTCCCCTCCTCCTCCTCCTCTTCCTCCTCCTCCTCCTCCTCCTCCTCCTCCTCCTCCTCCTCCTCCTCCTCCTCCTCCTCCTCCTCCTCCCCCCCTCCCCTCCCCCTCCCCCCTCCTTCCCTCTCCGTCTGCCTCACCGACCTGTGTAACCAACCAATACTGTGTTTAAGCTTACGATATAAATTGCTCGAGTGATCAGCTGATCGGTTAAACTTCGCAGGGAGATTAATACGTGGGGGAGAGGAGGGAGAGGGGTGGGGGGGAGGGTCTTCACAAGGGGGCCGTTTTTTTGTGTCTGTCTGATTTGTGTGTGAGGTTTTGTTTGTTTGTTTGTGCGTGATTGTGTGTTTGTTTGTTTGTTTGTGTATGGTTGTGTGTGTGTGTGTTTGCTTGTTTGCTTGTCTGTTTGTTTGTTTGTTTGTGTGTGTCTGTAGGCGCGTGTTTGTTTGCGTGAATGTGTGTTTAAGTTTGCATGGCGTCTATCTTTGCTTTTGTGTATTTTTGTATAAGTGATTGAAGAAAGGTAAAATGGAAGGAAGAAAAATAAAATAGAAGAGAGGAAAGGGGGGAAAAATAGAGAGAAGATAAGAGGGCGATAGAAAAGGAGGAAAGAGAAAAAAAATAAGTAGAGAATAAGAGGGAGAAAAGAAAAAAGAAGAGAGTGTGATTAAGTGTGCATGTGTGCATGTGCGTGCGTACATATGTGCGCGTGTGCCTTTGGGGCCCCGGATATTAGGTTAGTTTGATGTCATTGGTATGTATAGGACACTGGGGAATGTTGCAGATTGAAAGCCTTTTTTTTTAAGGTCGACGTTATTTTCTCGGAAGCAAACGGCAATTTGCTATTTGTCATCATTTGTTAGTGATGGTGATGATAGGATAGTGATGATGGTGATAGCGCACAGGATTGTGATGATGATGATGATAGTATACAGGATAGCGAAAATGGGTGATAGTACAAAGTCTAGTGATGGTGATGATATTGCAAAGTTTTATAATGATGGTAGTGTAAGAGGGTAGTGAAAGTATTGATAATGGGCGATAATGTTGATTGTGCAAGAGGATGGTGATGATGGTGCAAGTGAGTGGTCATGATGGAGACGATATTACAAAAATATGTGTTGTTCATGATTGTTAAGTCGAAATGACATTGCTACGTTTGAAAAAAAGGTGTCCTTTGTAATGAGGTTAGTTAATTGTGCAGAAAACGATTATGCATGAAATGCCTATTAACGGTATTAAATAAATAGAAAAAAATACATACGTAGACTGTGTGTGTGTGTGTGTGTGTGTCAAGTTTTCATCATGAGCAAGACAAGATAAAAAAAGACGCAAGATTGTACATTTTTCCAAACAGGTCGGGTAAGAAATTCTGTTTTCAGATCTGTTCATGGAAGTTTCTCTCTCTCTCTCTCTCTCTCTCTCTCTCTCTCTCTCTCTCTCTCTCTCTCTCTCTCTCTCTCTCTCTCTCTCTCTCTCTCTCTCATCCCCCCCTTCCATCCCCCTTCCTTCTCTCCCTCCCCGCCTCTCCCTCGCTCCCTCCCTCCTCCCTCCCTCCTCCCTCCCTCCTCCCTCCCTCCCTCCCTCCCTCCCTCCTCCCTTCCACCCCCTCCCTTCCCCTCCCTCTTTTCCCTCTCACTCTGCCTGTCCCTCTCCTCAGTCTCTCTCAAAAAAACTTTTAAGATTCCTGAAGCTTTCTCTCTCTCTCCCCCAGGCATGACCGCGGCGGAGGGGGACAGTGCGGGTGGCCAGGTAGGTGACGGCAGTGGCGATGCGCTCTTGTTTACGCCTCCGGAGTGCGCGAGGGGAGGAGGGGGGAGGGGAGAGGGTTGTTTGTCTTTCGCCTATGGGGTCCCTTTGATGGGGGGTAGGGAGTGAGTTGTTTAAGCCTATGGAAGTCCTCTATATTCTTTTGTTTGTTTCTTTTGTTTTTGTTTTTTTTTCGCTTTGTCTTTCTGTTCCTCCCTCCCTTCCTCCCTCCTTTCCTTTATCTGCTCATCTACCACGCCGGCGTACAGCTTGGGCGTGGAAAGGCATTGCTACATTTGATATGTGGTCATGTGATACTACATTCCAAATTTAGGATACAACATAAGTATATCTTCTAAGACGTCAGATGATGTGAAATGGTTATATAATTCTCCGTACCTCCTGCTAGGTGGTCTGAAAGGCTGTAACACATGGCACGCTGAGGTATAATGTACAAGTGTTCGCTTATATTCTTCATTACACAGTTTACACTTAGTTTCTTCGGCATTACAAACTGTATTGACATGCCAGTACGATCTATATCCAAGCCTTTTTTCTTGCGGTCACAATCTCACACACCGTCTTTTTCTTGTTTTATATATACCGTAGATGAAGGAATCTTGCGTAAATCGGCCATAGTGCTTAATGCTACAGCTTTCACGGCGTTGAGAATTAATCACTCAGTCAAGTCCTCTTTGAAGGAAGATTTAACCCATTGCCGCCGGGGAAAATGAACACAAAATGGGGGAAATGCAGTACTCATTTTTTATATTTTTGTGAAATATCTCTGTCCATAGACGGCTCTGCTAGTCCTGATTTCACCTTTCCTTGAGTCGGCGGGAAAAAACGTATTTTTACTAGTGGTATAAATATAGATGGTGTTATTTTTAACAGCAAATTAGGATAACGTTAAATATTTTCGTAAATCGATGAAAAGGGTGAACGGGCAAGACAGGCAGTACTCGTAATTTGCTCATTGGATACTTAGTACAAGTGTAGCCATCTATGTGTAAAAACAATCGAACAAGTCGACTCACAGTGGGCATGGCATGTACGTACATGCCATCCCCGGCGGCAATGAGTTAATGATGTATAAAATCTTAGATGTAGCCTAAGATCTATTCCACACGTAGTTGAAACGCGGCCCCAGAAGTCCGTAGAGTTATCACAACACATTTTACGCTCGTTTTTTTTTCTATCAATATTTTCATCTCTATTTCGTGTTAGTATCCCTTTCCCTTGTCACTCGGGGTTGTAATGTGAGTACCAGCGCGGATGTGGTATCGGTCCCTGGGCGCAGATGAGGAGGAGCTCGTTGCGGAGAAGTCCAGGAAATTTCATTTTTATATTTCATTTTGTTTATATCTCCGCAACTTAAATAGGTCGCTGTTTCTGCCTTGTAGTTGTATTTGATTATATAAGTGTATTAATGTGTTAATAGAAATGATAATAATGGAATGATGATAGAAACAAAATAATAGATAGAATAGTAAATAATAGACAATATATAAAATGATAAATATTATATAAGATAAAAAATAGAAATGTATTAATGCCTTCTTTGTATATTTTTCTAAAAGATGCGAGCTTTTTTGTGCCTGCTACTGTCTATAATGTATTGATTAAATGTCTTGAGAATAAGGATATCAGTTTTTGTGTGCGTGTATCTTTTTATTATTAACGTCTATTATTTGCTTGCGGTTGATGTTTTTCAATACAGTCTGCTGCTCTGTGCTGTGGCGCAATAGTATGGTTATTCCTTTTTGCAACAGCGGAAACCAGAGTTTTTGGGGTGGCGCGACTG